AGAATAAAGCCAGCCAAAACAAAACAGTGTGATACAAGACTTCAAAATAAGATAAAAGGAAATCAGCAGTGGTTACCATAATGCCTCTTGTCTTCAAAATTTGCTGCCCATACCTTCCGACACAGTATAGAGCGCCAGGGATTTAGCTCACTGGTGTAAGTGCCACCTGGAATGTACACAGTTGTGAGTTTGATCCCTGGTACCAGGAAGAAAACAAACAAACAAACAAACAGAATTGAACCAATAAAAATAAAGCAATGAATGTGATAAAGAACTTCAAAGCAAATAACAGTAAATCCAAAATGGCTGCCATAATCTATCTTGTTATTTTTGAAGAATCTGCCCATGCCATTGGATACAATAAAATTGAAAAAGACAAAAGAGAATAATACGTAACCCAACAAAACAATGAAAATGATAAGGACTTCAAAACAAGATGATAGGGAATTAACAATGGCCATCACCTTCAGAAGGAGATTCCCCATATATGCTACACTGCGTATTGTTATTCTCTGAATAGATGATCAGACTACCAGCTTTAGGCCTGCAAAGTTAGTGAAACACTAAACACTACAAGCATTAAGTTGTATTTTACCTCAATAGCTACCACTGCAGTCTGTGTTTCTCTGGATCAGCCGTTGCTTACAGTGTGTGTGTGTGTGTGGTGGGGGGGGGGGGCTTGGTTCTTTTTGTCTCCCAGACTGTGTGCTGGAATGGGCTGGCATCTGGCTTTCCCTCCAGTGGCCCATGCATAGCATTGATTTGCAGGGAGGACTTGCTTCTTGTTGACTTCCTTTTTTTTTTGTGGTACTGGGAATTGAACTCATGACCTTGTGCTTGCCAGGCAGGTCTCCAGCCCCTCTTGTTGACTTCTTGTTCTCTTTCCCCCATAGTCTGCGAATGGCACCAACCCACAGGGAAAGACAGGTCTGGCTGTAGCCCTGGCGGCCCGCATGTGGTGCCAACTCCCAGGGAGGGCTTGCTTCTTGTTGACTTCAGCTCTGCTCTCTTAACAGGAGCCACAGCAGCTGGTGTCTGCCATGTGGACCTGCTCCTCACTGGATTCTTTCTCTGGTGTCCCTTACAGACCTCAAGAATTCTCCAATGACTTCTGTTTCCATTACTTGCATCTGACCGCAGAGATGCTACACACACCATGCATTTCAGTGGATCACATCAGTCTTTTGCCTCATGCCTAGGCCCTCGTGGCTATTTCCCACGTGCCCGGTGTCACCTGGCCACCTGACATGTATTACCTCATTTAATGCTTGTGACCCTGCACCTGACCCTGTGCTTGGTACTTGGTTGTTCCTGTGTATTACAGGAGAGAAAGCTGAGCCTTGCAGAACCTTGAATAACTCAGAGGCAGAGCTGGGGTCAGGTGCAGGGTGTTTCTGTTCTGGGCCGGCACTGGAATTCCCAACTAGAAAGGCAAGGACAGGGATCGGAGAGGTCATTTTCAACCAAGCCTTTTAAGGGTGGCATTTGACTGTGGGTCATAAGAAATGCCTTAAACATAGTAAGATGAGGGAGTCATTATTTGATGTCACAAAAATCATACCCTCATGCGATTCCAGGTGATTGGTTTAGCTTCTCCTCAGTATAATCAAGGACTTTTGTACTTTGCTTTTTTCTGCTCTGCCATTATGACTGCAAGGTGATTGCAGCCGTTCCAGTCATCATATCCAGACTTCCATGGCACCAGACAAGAGAAAGCTGATATCTGTGTTCATTCCTCTTTGTATGGAAATCCTTTCCCACAAGGGGCTCTATCTAGGGATCAGCTGCCATCCCATGTCATGCCTGAACTGGTCACTGATGAAGGGAAAAAGCCTTTAGGCTTGACTTAGAGCAGCTCCAGGCCTGAGGGCAGGCAGAGGCTCGGTGGAGTGGTCTCACCTTTCACAGAAGCACATCCCTGCCTCTATGCACCTCATCACTGTGGTGCACCTGCCGGGGTGCTCCAAGCTTGCTGCACCCGGAACACTGCAGCCCTGACAGTTGTCAGCTTCTGCTGTGGCTCTCTCTGCTGGCCTCCCTGGTGTTGATCTGACTGGCAGATGCAGAGGAGTCTGTGTGGACCACCCTTGTGCTCCCGGCTGATGTCCTCACAGCTTGACAGTCCTTGACAGCAAAAGGGACAGTTTTGTCTTCAGAGGCCTCATACCAGGGTCTTCTGATGCATGCCAGTACACACTACTGGAGGGGACTTGGGTCACAGCACTGCACCCACAAGGAGGTGAGCTCTGTGTTCCCAGCATCAGTAGTGTCCCGTCTGAGGATGTCTGTGGGATGGCTTTCATCATCCCTCCCGGACCAGGAAGCACTGAGCATCTCTCATGAACACAGAAAACCTGATCATCGTGTGTGTGGCACCCTGGGGAGTCCTTGGCTGAGTTCTGTCCCCACATCATCAGGAAACCAAAAAATGTGACCAATGAACCTTATGACTGACACTGCGCCACCTGCCCGGAGTAGACCCTGGCATCTGAAATCCATTTCGAGTTTTTACTATGCTGTGTTCCAGAGTTGCCTAGACCTGTAAGGATTGTTCCCCTTGCTTTGGGAGTAGGGCCATTTCCCACATGACCAGGAGATAGGCTCTGCAAAGTGTGCCTTGTGCTGGCGGTGTGGCTCTGAACACACCACTGTCCCTCTTGGGGTCTCGTCTCCCCACCTGTGATGCAGGCGAGGACCTGAGCCTATCGCTGAGTGGCCTCCTGTGCCTCCGGAATCTGCCAACCTCACAGTGCTTCTTGCTGTCTCACAGGTGGTCACAATGTCGCCTGTCTCATGCAATCGTGCTTCTTACCCATGGCTGATCCCGACCCTGAGCTACCTCAGCTTGTCCATTTTATGAAACCTTAAAGGTCCTTGGACTCCATGGTCAGGGAACATGTGCTTCCAGATCCCTGCTGTGGCTCTGGGGGACAGGGCTGGCCTTGGTTTCCCCAGTTCCTCACTGGCTATTAGCCTGAGCTGTCCCAGCTCCTCACCCCTGCCCTGTGCACCTCTGCAGGGTGGCTTTGTCACCATCATGAGACAGAAGTGAGCATCACAGAGAGTGTGGTCATGGAGCTGCCCTGGAGGGGTCCCCAGAGCCATCCTGGCCACTGCTGGCCTCTGGTCTCTACTTCCTGCTGCCTTGGCCGTTGGGAGCTCCAGGTGGAGCTTGGCTTTGCAGATTGAGCAACCCCAGGGCATCATCACAGAACCAGAATGCACAGTGTGCAGAGTCCTGGATGACAGTGAGGCCTGGGGACCTTCAGTCCCATCTTCCTGAAGCATGGGCTAGGGACTCAGTGCATTTAACAGGAAGCTGATTAGAACCCAGTGTTGACCAGTTAGAAAAGTGACCCAGCCTTTTCCTGTTCCTGCTCATTCACCTTATATTTTTGACGTAACATTGTCAGAGTCATCGCTAACTTGAGACCTGTCACTCCCAAACTGAAATAGTACCTGTGAACATTCTTTGCCTTTTTTAAAACCAAAGGGTATACTACAGAGATTTCTGCATATTGTCAGTGTGGAGGTCAGCTGCCGTATCTCATAGGATGCAGCTGTAGAGTTTAGTTCTCCACACTGCGCTGTTGCCCTGGTTCTCCTGGCGCAGTAACTGTCCCATCGCGGCTGTAGTGAGGGTTTGTTTTGCTGTCCCTCACAGGCTTTGGTGTCTTCTCATGGCTTGTAGCCCAGATGTCTCAAGCTTCCCACTACTAGATTCCCTCCCTGCACACCCAGCACTCGAGAGCTGAGCTGCTGCCCCTGTATCGCCTGCATTTGTCATGCACTGGCCCTTGGACAGATGCTGCTGCATGTGCTGCCCCATGAGTGACAGCAGCGGCCTGTGGTGGCCGGCAGATGCTCTGTGCCGCGCCTGGCCATGCTCAGTGCTGCTGGCATTGTGCTGCCCACCACCTGTGTGTTGGGGGCTTTGGCCTCTGTGCTGCCTCAGCCCCTCCTGCTGTATGTCTCATTGCCCCACATGTCCCAGTCTGTCCCCAGCCTGTCCCACGAGGGGACTGCCCCAGCCGAGGGGCTGTGGTCTGTGTCTGCAGGTCTGGCCCTTTCTCCCTCCTCTTTCCTGTTCGGTACAGTGGGTAGTGACCTTTTGATTATTTTCCAGAGAGCCCCATCTCTTCCTTTCTGCACTGCTGTTCCCCTCTTCACCCTCAGCACTGCGGTTTCCAGCCAGACTCCCCTGGTCCCAGCTTTGGCTGCTGTTGCCAGAGACCGAGGCCGGACCCTTGTGCTGCCTCACCCTCCCAGCGCCCTGGGTGCGTGACCATGTGGCTCTCACAGGCCCCCCCAGAGCTTGGCTCTGAGAGTTTGAGAAAGTGATAGGCACTGGCGTAAGGTGGGGAGAGCCTGGGAAGGGGGAACAGAGCGTGCACCTCAGGACCCTCTGCCGCTGGAGTCACTGTATGAGGTATGCACACCCAAGCAGAAAGGTCAGCACGGCCAGTGTGCCAGGCCTTGTACGTAAAACGCTGGGACATGAGGGCCTGAGGGAGCGTGTCTCCCAGGCCTGTGAGGCCTGGTTACCCACCACGGGACCTCTGTGGCCCTCTGGAGCAGCGCGGAAGAGGAGGCACGTTGGAAACAGTATTCATTAAGCAAATGTTTCAGTCCTTTTGTTACCCGGAACTGGCCATGTGGACTCCTTTTGTGTCTGTCTTGGGGAAACCAGATGTTTGAGTTATTTTATATTGTTTTCTTCAAGTTTGAGCCAATTGTCTCTAATCACACACTTGCAAGCAAGTCCTCTGTAATAGAAGTCTATTAATACGTTTTCTATTTTTTGCTGTTCTCACTGTTATAGTTTTTTTCTCCCCTCAAATAAGGTCCACAGTTTTTCAGGGAAGAACACAAAGAGCTTCCTAGTTTATCCTAATAATTATTTTCCATAAAATCCTGAGGGTAGGGTGTCCCTTTGAATGTTTCATGAAGTGTTGAGATTTCTCTCCTTTTTTCCCCTTGACTGTACCCTGGGTCCCCAGCTGGCCAGCTCTGCGTCCCTGGAGGGGAAGGGACAGATGAGGTTCACTTCGGGACGCTGGAGCCCACATCACAACTGCACCCAGGTGGCCACTGCCAATGACACCGCCCTCCGCGGCTGGGACACACGCAGCATGAGGTCAGTGACTCCTGGGCCCTGGTTCTCTCCTTCCTCTTTTCTCTAAGGAAACTGATGGCGACAGACAGACTTGGGGACAGGCAGTTTGTCTGTCTTCATCTTACTGTGTGGGAAGCCTTCTCCACCCCTCCTCATTCTCAGGTACCGGCTGTGTGCCGGCCCCATGCCTCAGTGGACCTTATGCCATCCCACATTACTGTCCCTACTGTCCCAGGGCCTAGTGTTGTTCTCCAGTGACACAGGGATGAGGACACTCTGTCTCCACATGAGCCAGGTGGCAATTGCAGTCCCTCGGTGAAGTCTCCCTTGCAGAGTTGTCCTTGACCATTTCCATGCTTTCAAGAGACATACCTGCAGGGCAATCATATTTTGTCATTTAAGTAATTATCCGCAACCACCACAGTTCTAATGGAACAAACAAGAGCTATTTTTCTGTTCCAGTTGTGATTTTGATAGGCACAGGAGTGATGGTGGGACGTCTGTTGCTATGGCGACGGGCACCCGTATAAGCTTTTTAAAGATGCAGTTTATCCCCTCAGCACACCATAATTGATCACTGAGCCGAAGAGACGGATATCATGCAATAACTCGCATTGCTTCCAGGGTGGGAGCTTACCTTTCAAATTTAGCTCCGAGGCCCCTCTGAAAGCCCAGGGGCTGATAAATAAACAGTCGCCACTCCTGAGGCCCAGGCAGCTCTGTAGGAAGCAGGGATCAGCTTCCTGTGTTGCTGGCAGCCTCGGGGTGGGGGTGAGGGGCACTGCAGAACTTGACGCCGTCCTATGCAGGCCTAGGTCTCCTTGTTCTGCGGTCACTTCTTGTCCTCGCTGCTCTCTGAGGGATGTGACAAGGGAGTCATAAAACACAAGGCAGACTCGGCTTTCTTTGGTAGCATCCCACGGTGACCTTGTGTGGCAGGCAGCCTCGCCCTTTTTTGCTTTTCTCCTGTGCCTTTGGTCTTCGCCTAGCCAGGCTGCCCAGGGTGTTCCATGCTGAAGGTGTTACAGGTTCGCATCAGAACAGGCAGCTCCCTTCTTTTAGTAATCACTGCACATGCAGCACCCATCCAGCACCCATTTTAATCATAGACCTTTCACTTGTTTCACTTGAGAGATCTTCAAGTTTAGAGTCTCTTATTTTAGGGAAAAAATATGAAGGCATTGAAGGAATATGAGATGTAAAAGCCAGTTCAAGATTTAAAATGCCTCAGGATTGGCGCACTGCACAAGATAAAGATGACGAGTGGGGCTTCTCCGTGTCAGAGAGTGGGGTCTCATGGCAGCCTCCCGCCCTGGGGAAGAGAATCACAAGGCCTGGAGCTCCTGTTCCTTCCCCAGCTCCCCCAAAGCCAGGGTGGGCCAGAAGTTCACAGTGGCAGGAGATGTCTGAGTTCCACCCCAGGCAGCGGGGAGGCGGGCAGGCCTATGTGAGACCCAGTGTCCGCCTCCCTAGGTTGCCCGCCCCTGTTTTGGTACACGGCATGGAAAGAAGCCATGATGGGCAGGGTATTCTTATTTCAGGCCCTGCAAAGGGCCGGGCCCACGTTAGATGTGCACGAATAAGCATGTGTGTGCCCTCTTACACATGTGTGTGTGCGTGTGCACACTATAAACCACTGGCTGATTTCAAACACCCCTCTCCCTGCAGCTCACCCTGGGCCCTCCAGGGTTGCACCCTAAGGGATGTGGGCAGCTGAACCCCAAACCTAGCACAGACAGCACCCGTGCTATCTCCTTGGTGGTTTTTGTAGCCTTTTTCTGTCTCCCCACAAACACCTGGTACCTGCAGCACACTCTGTTTGGCCTCCTCTCTTGTTTCTTCCCTTTCCCTTTCTGCCCCTGCTGCCCCTTCCACAGCCTGTCAGGTGTCCTTCCAGAGGAGTCTGTCCTGCTCTGTGTGGCCGTTCTGGTCCTTCCGGCATACTGTCATTCCCCAGACCCCAGGTCACACACTGACATCAGCAAACCGGTGCTATCTCTGCACCTCACCCAGGGGACCAGCCATGCTCTGGGGACACTAGAGCCACCTCACTGCGGTGAGAGACTTCCAGCTCCCAACGCCTCGTGCCCATCCTGCTGGCCCAAGGGAGGAGCACAGAGGGCACCCAGGCACCCACTTGGGAAGGCGAGGGCGAGGCTGTCGTGTAATGTGGGTGCCACACTGTTCCCCTCCCCCAGCCAGATCTACTGTATAGAAAATGCCCATGGCCAGCTGGTGAGGGACCTTGACTTCAATCCCAACAAGCAGTACTATCTCGTGAGCTGCGGGGACGACTGCAAGGTGAAGTTCTGGGACACTCGGAATGTCACCGAGCCCGTCAGGACCCTGGAGGAGCACTCCCACTGGTACAGTGACTCGTTTGCATGCCATGCTGGGGAAATGGGGATTATGTAATTTATTTTGCTAATTACTTTACCATTTGGAAAGGCACAAACCAGCTTCGTTTGTGCTGCCGTGAATCATTCAATCAACCCAGTTTTATTTTTCCTAAAGAAACGCTAATTCCAAATCTGAATGTGATTTATAAGCACAGGAAAAGAAGAAAAACATTAGATTCTGTTTTCTCTTGAAACAGTGCCGGTTCAAGTATGCAAAAATAAATGCTCACAGATGTTCACGCAGCATTGTTTGCAGTGCCTGAAAACTGGAAGCGACCCAAATGTCCATCAATAGGGGATCGGTTAAGTAAATTAGGTGACATCCGTGCCATGGAGACGATGCTGCTGTCAGGAAGAATGAGGGGTGCCCATGTGTGGATGGATGTGGAAGGATGCCCAGGATCGTTCATTTGCTCCAGAATATTAGCTCAGCGTTTGCCGTATGCTGGGTACTTTCTGCTAAATGCATAAAAGGACCATGCTGTAGAATAGCATGTAAAAGATGCACCCTTTTTTTGTGTAATAAGGTGCATGTGTTTGTGTGCGTGAATGTGTGTGCACAGGTATCTGATGGGGAAGCCCAGAAGAGGAGGAGCTGGCTCTCACAGGTTCCTCTCTGGTGGACAGGGGCTGTGCTCTCCTCTGGGGCCCCAAGTCTTGGGCAGTGTAGAAGACGGCTGCATGGCCATACCAGGTATGGCCCTCTACCCCAGGGCCTGCTGTAGTCTTGGCATGAAGGGGAGGCTGAGATCACCAGGCTCCCTGACCCATGGCTGTGGTGTCACTCTGAGCCAGCATCCCCGAGCTGAGTGTCACCTGGAGAGACTCCAAGGCCTGGTGTCAGGCCCCGTGACTGCGCTCTGCTGGGCCATGCTGTGGAGCTTGGCTTGGTGCCCATCAATGTGTCCTCTTGGGAAAGCAGTTCTTGTTTGGAATTCTACAACAGCTGTCCCCTCGGAGAGCTGGGCAGTGATTCTCGCCCTCTTCCTTGTGAGCTGACATTAGTCCTCTCTGTCCATTTGCTGGCACCTAAGAGGGTATTTGAGAGCAGCACACAGCTGGGGACCAGCAGTGTGTGACCTGGTCCAGCCGGGTCACCTCCTGCTGACCATCTCAGCATCCTCTGGTCCCCTTTGCAGGGTGTGGAGCGTCCGCTACAACCACTCCCATGACCAGCTGGTCCTCACAGGCAGCAGCGACAGCAGGGTCATCCTGTCCAACATGGTATCCATCTCCTCGGAGCCCTTCGGTCATCTGGTGGATGATGATGACGTCAGTGACCCAGAGGAGCACCACTCTGAGGAGAAGTAAGGGACATGGCATGCAGCGGTCCCATCTGCTACGCATGGCGCTCTCCACCCTGGCTCCCTGAGTGTGAGAGCCATCCAGCACTTACGGTCACATCCCCTTCTGTGCTTCACCCTGGGTGGGTTATGTAGGTCTGGGGCTTCTTTGAGGGGACACACAGGACACCTCCCCTCCTGCAGTCTTGGCCACCCTCATGCCTCACTGACAGCCTGTCTTGGATTGCAGGAGTAAGGAGCCACTGCAGGACAACGTCATTGCCACCTACGAGGAGCACGAGGACAGTGTGTATGCCGTGGACTGGTCCTCAGCCGACCCCTGGCTGTTTGCATCCCTGAGTTATGATGGGAGGCTGGTCATCAACAGGGTCCCCAGGGCACTCAAGTACCACATCCTGCTCTAGCTCTTCCCGGGCATCCCTGTCCTGCACCCACAGAGCCAGGGGTCTGCAGCCACAGAGGGTGAATCCTTTGCGGATCTGTCCCCCTCTGGAGAGTCTGACAGAGGCCCTGTGGGGACTGGGACCAGCTTCTTCCCACAGCTGCTGCTCAGTGCCCACCGTACCTCACTTTCGCCCTCTGTGTTGACTCACCTGTCTCCTGAGATGACGAAGGAAATAAAGTGAGCAGAACCTCAGCAGGCTCCAGCTCGTTCTTTCAGGACCTCTGCTCTCCGTGGTGTGGCCTCATTTGTCTACAACTCCAGGCCACCTTTGCGGTGCCATCCCAGTTGGGGCTGGGAGCCCAGGGGCTGGGGTTGCGTGGGGCCACATCTTGCTGTGGTGCAGCTCTTGCTCGGCCTCTGGCCCCCCTGGCCTCTGCATGCCATTGTGGGTTGTGTCAGGCTCTCTGCTGTCCCAGAGGTTGGGATTGGGCCACCTCCACATACACTCACGCTGCCGCCATCAGCCTCCTCCTTCTGTGGGTCCCAGCTCTGTTCTGTGCTCGCCTGGTGCACGGTACCCCAGACAAGCTGTAGGCACTCCACCTGGCCAGGTGTCCAGTAGACACCGCTTCTCCACATGCCTCAGTTTCCCTGACTGAAATGAGAGCTGGCAGCTGTAGGGCTGACACTTCCATCACCGCTCTGTGTAAACCCTAACCTGTCATCCCTCTGGCTTCTGTACCTCCTGGGACAGGAGAGAAGGTCACAGTGTCCCCCTTGGATTTGTCAGAGAGGAAGGGGACACTGGTCGGTGGACGGGGCGTGACAAATCTGCGTCCTGTCTCTGACAATGCTGGGGATCTAACACTGGACCTCAGGGAGCGACGCCCCATGCCCAAGAGTAGATTCATGACCCAGTACTGACTCATACACGGGACTGCTGTAAAGGAGGATAAACTTGAGGCTTTTGTAGGTAAATGGATGCAACTTGAAATCGTACTCATAAGTGAAATAAATCAGACTCATGTGTACACATTGCAGTGTGTCCCTAGTGTAAGAAACTAAGAGTAAATAAGATCTGAAAGGAACAACAGATATTGTGACAGTGAAAAAAAGGGGAAGAAATTGCTCAAAAGGCAAGAACAACTGGGATTGGGGAAAGGAGAAAAGAAAGATAGATATAAGATAGATAATTATACTACTAATCTCCGTTAGTTCATCAGAAAGAACGCTTTGTGCTTTTCATTGTTCAATCTTTTTTATGCCTGTATCTTGTAATCTGAGCAACAGCTTTGAACTTAACAAAACTCAATATATTAACCATTGCTAATGTATTATTTTGTTTTGAAATTCTGTATCATCGTTTTTATTCCTTTTTCATTTTAAAATTAAAAAACAAAACATGGGACACAGCTCTGTCCTTACCCCTCATGTAAGGGGTAAGTGTCCCTGCTGTGAGAACTGGGAGGCTGTGTGAGCTCTGGGCTGGCTGCAGGGCCATGTCTCTGCGAGGTGACATCTCCCATGGTTCTCACTCTGGGTGATGGAGGCAGAAGTAGGGTAAGGAAGTGGCTCACAAGATGCCGTTTATGCTGCATGCCCAGCATCCTCCATGATGCCTGGAGCCAAGCCCCCCAGACTGTCCTGTGCATCGCTGGCCAGGGGCCACTGGGTTCTCATTCAAAACCTTCCTCTTCCCAGCATGACAGACCTGGCACAATGGGATGGTGACGCTGGGAAGAAAGAGAAATATCACTGGTTGGGCTGACCCGCACACATCTGGGCTCTGCCTGAGCAGCATGAAGGCCATTAGCCCTGAGGTTGGCGTCAAACAGGACAGAGTCACTGTGATGTGCTTATGCAGACCCCAGACTCGTCCCCCTTCCTTGTCTGGCTGCAGACCCGTGAGGTCATTGAGAACCCCACTTTCCCAGCGGCGTCTGCTCTGCCTGGGTGCAGCACTGATGGAGCCCAGGAATCCAGTGACTTTATCATGGTTACTGACCTTTCCACTACCCGGGTGCAGCAAAGTGCGCTGGGGCTGCCCTCTCTCTTCCCTACCTGGCCAGCTGACAGATTGGCTTTCAGAGAGATCCACATCCTCTGCCGAGAGTAAGGCCCTGTTCCCACCCACACCGAGCCACATGAGGGTCCTGTCCATGACTCGTTGGCAAGGTAAGGTGAGCTGGGTCTGGAGGAGAGCCAGGTGCCTCAGCTGGGATGCTGAGAGGGGCGCCTAGCATCAAACCCCTGATAGATGTCAGGACATCATTGAGTGACAGGAGGCAGGCTGGACTTGCACTGGAAGGAGCCTCAGCACAGACAGTGAGGCCGGTAGTGGGCTCTGCAGGCCAGGCCACCCCACCGCTGTCCTGTCCCGGGGTCTCCCACACTTCCAGGAGATGAGGCAGGAAGGGCAGATCCGGGTGTGAAGATGCCAGATGAAAAGAGGGGAGAAGCACATGAGGGAAATAAAGAGAGAATGAGAAAAAAATGGTCCATGCTAGGTCTAAGGGATGTGGGTGCAGAACTGGAGTGCGGGGCTGGGGTGGGCAGGAAGGTATCTCCTCCAGAATGGTGAACCTGCAGAGCCCCCCAGTGACCCCACCTCTTCCTCTGATGTGCTGATCTTGTTTGTCCATCACCCTTTACCTCACTGAGCCAGGTTATTCCCACTTGCAGCCCCCTTTGTTGTGGGGCTACGGGGGCTCTGTGGCACCCTTCCAAGTCCTAAGGACACCAAGTTGCTCCAGGATGTTTTTCACCCCCAAGCAAGGGGCGTCCATGCTCCTGGCTCCAGGGCCCCCCAGCAGGTGGCCCAGAGTCCCTTCTGGCCTTGCCAGCAATAACATGGGGCCTGTGGTCTCTGCATCTGATGCAGATCCCCTCCCCAGGAGGAGGTACCTGGCTGAGCACCCCTATCAGCAGATCCCCACCCAGAACAAGCTCATCCTCTGGCTCCAACCTCCCCCTGCACCCCCAGCCTGGTTACCTTCCTGCTGGGTGTCACTGCCAGGCCTGCACCTCACTCTGCATCTTGAGCCCTGGCCTCCTGAAGGCCACACCTCAGAGGTCTCCCCACCTACTGGCTCTCGCAACAGCTGCCTGGCTCCTCCCAAGCCTATCACATGAGCAAAGGGGACGGACATTAGTTACAGGCCACAGTCCCTGCCGACCATTCCAGAACCCCAGAGCCTACAACATGGGACTCGTTCACCAGCAGACCTGGCTGTGCTTCCTGCACTGAGTGTAAATACCCCTGCCCTCTGTAAGAATCAGCCAGGAAGCCCAGAGCAGCCCCAGGCCACTGTCATGGGAGCGCTGAGGGGGTGATGTGGCTGCTCCCAGATTGAGATGATGCTGAATTCCCAAAGCCCCTCCTGCACCCAGCCCTGCTGCCCATGATGACGTGCTTGGGCATCCTCTCTCCCTCTTGTACCCCCTCCCCTTCCTTGACCTCATGCCAGGTGTTCCTGGTCTCTGCAGCCTGGACCCTGAGCTCACCACACCTTCCTGGCCATTTCTTCTGCCCCTCAGCCCACCTCCTTCCTCTGCAGCTCACATCTGGCTGCTGAACAGCATTCAGGGGCTCCATGTCATAGTCAGTGCCACAGATGTCCACAAAGTTGTTATAAGGACCTGTAATCCCAGCATGCTGGGAGGCTGAGACAGGAAGATCACAAGTTCAAACCTAGTCTGGGCAACTTAGTGATTAAATGAGAGCATGTCTCAATAAATAAATAAATAAATAAATAAATAAATAAAAAAGGGCTGGGGATGTAGCTCAGTGGGAAGCCCTGGGTTCAGTCCCCAATACTACCACCACCAACAAAAAGAATCAAAGGCAAATAATTCTTGTCAGGTAGGGGGACACAGACCCATAACATGGTGGCCTGGTGCAAGAAATGGCACAGGGGAGGGGTCTGCCTCCTGGGTCCAAATGAACCCTCTGAAGTGGGGAGCTTGGTCTGGAGGCTGAGGCACAGGGTGGGTACCTTTTCTCACTATGCACTGTTCCTGCTGGGGTGTTTTCCTAGCTGATTCTTATTTTCTTCCTTGCCTCAGTTTGCATCCCCAGGAGTCTTTCTTCACCACTGATCAAAGCAGATCTTCCTTGTTACTTTCTGTTCTGTTTTTCTCTCACCTGGGACTTATCAGTCAGAAAAGTAAATGTTAGTGTTATAGCTCATTCTCCCACCGAACCATAAATGTCCTGAGGGCAAGAAGTTTGTCCCCTGTATTCATCATTGTGCCCTTGGCATCTAGCTCAGAGCAGGGCACATGAGCACTCAAAAGCTGTATTGTGTGGATGGGTCATTCAATGCATGGAGGGATGGATGGGTGGGTACAAGGAAGAATATGCAGGTGAGTAAATGAAAAGATAGATGGGCAGCTGAATGGATGGTTCAATTCATGGATATATGGGTGGATGGGCGAGTGGATATGTGAATGGATGGATGAATGGAAGGATGAATGGATGAGTGGGCATGTGGATGGATAGATTCATAGATGCCTGGATGAGTATGTGGATGGATAGGTGGGTGACTGCACAGATGGATTGATGGATGGATGAATAGATAGATGGATAGATGAACAAGTAGATGGTTGGATGGACAGATGGGCGCATGGATGGATGGATAGTGGGTAGGTTTGATAGACTGGGCAAGTGATATGGATGGGCAGTTGAATGTAAATAAATTTGAGAAATTTCTGAGCCAGTTTTAAAAACAAAAACCATCATATAAGCTAATGAAATGAAATAAGCTACAGCAAAGCCAGGTCTTCTGAGTTCTGAGAAGCTGTGGCTGGAGGAAAACTCAAGCACCTCTCCACTCACATGAGATTTTGGGGAGGCACAGTGCAGGTGGCTGATGGGTTACACATGTCCCACAGGATCAGGTCTGCAGACGCTATCAGACCTTTCCTCTTGAGGCTGAAAGAGTAACCAGCAAGCCCAGGACATTTCTTGATTTGGGTTCTCCCTCTCTGTAGCTCTGCAGAAATCTATGGAAAATTCCAGGAAACAACCCAAAGCCCCTAGTCTCTCTCCAGATAAAATACTTGAGGCTAAATGAATGGATGGGTAATTGCAGGACTGCCTCGGATGCAACCTGAGCGCTTGTGAAATAAGTGAAAAATGGAAGCTTAATTAGTTTGAAACATGGAAAGTCATAAACAGTGTTATTGAAAAACAAGAGCCTTGTCAAAGTATTTTTCATGTCAAATGGAGATTTGCAGATAGAAAGCGGTAGGAGAAAGCTGTTTCCTAAGAACTAACAGGGAACTTCAACGACTGCTCCTGGGTCTCCACAGAGGCAGACAGTCCATGTCCAAGCCCTGCAGTTCAAATAACCCGCGCTTCCAGATTTTGGGGAATGAGAACTGTGAAGGTCTCCTGTTTGCTGGGCTTGGTGGCCTCAGGGGACCTAGCCCACAGCCTGTGAATCTGTGTTATGACCCCACCTACCTTGCCAGGGGCGCCCCCATTTGTGAGCCCTAACTGATGGGTGAGCTAGTCCTGAATCATCTCTTCTATTGAAATGTTTTATTTTCCCTGCAGTCTCTGGACCTCCATCCTATGGGCCACTTGTGCTTCTTCTTGACCTGCACCTCAAATCCATCTGTGCAGCCTTTTGCAGCCTCTTTGCGAGGAAAGAGCCCAGTTTCCTGTAGGATGGATGGTAGCACAGGACCCTGGGTCTGTCTCAAGTGTTTGGACCAACCTATCCTGTGTGGTGCCTATTCAGCCCCAGCCCATTCAATTCACAGTTAACGCCACCTTATGAGCCAAAACCTTTGGGCCCCTAGAGATCACCCATTGCTCCAGCTTTGTCCCCTTGACATGCTACTTCCAGGGCAGGGACGGGATTGTCGCAGCCCACCCTTGTAGAAAGAAAGTTGGGCATGGAAAGGAATTGGTAAATCGGTAATCCTGCAACTTGGCTGAGTGACCAGAGCAAATCAATCAAACACACATTTCCTTAAGCTGCTGTCTTTCTGCATCCAGGAAGGCTCGCAGAGTCCCGTGACCCCTGGCCTTGCTTCTCAGCCTCAGTCCTACCAGAGACCCGAGAGGACAGAGCTGTGCATCTCCAGTGCTGATTTCCACTGAGGCTCCCAGGAAGGTGGCCCGGTGGTTTGCATGGGGCCTCATAGGGAGAGGAGCTGGGGCCCTTTTCCAGGGCAGCTGTGTGCAGGTGAGAACTGGGGAGCAACAGCTGTGGGGTGATGCCAGGCTGATTTGTGGGGTCCGTGTTTCCTTTTGTTCTTAAAATGTTTGTTGGGCAACAACGATGTGATCGCATCTGTCACGGCCTCCCATGCAGCAGAAAGGTGCTCCATGCATGTCTGGCAGCCTCACGGCCCACCTTGCTCTGTGCTTTCTGTGACCCAGCCCCCTGCTGCGGACATCGGATGCTGCCCAGTTGGGGCGGGGCATGCGACCTGGGGGACCCCAGCGGGAAGTCTCCTCCCCTGCAGCCTGCCTTGACTTTATCCTGGAGGAAGTGGTATGCTTGTGATGTGCCACTTGTGACAGCTTTGCCCAGTGCTGCTGGTGACCTCTGTTCTGCCTGGGTGGGGCGACTGTGGGTTTGCCCAGAGTTCTTCCTTCTGCTTGTGAGGACAGAGGTGGGCGCTGTGTCACAGTGCTACCCCAAGACTCAGCACCATCCCACTCCGTGCAGGTCCAGTAGGAACCTGGACAAGACCGGGTACCTTGTAGGTGAGCACCCCCAGGAAGGATGGGCTTCTGGAGAGAGGAGGACTGTCTCCCAGCCCCATTTCTTCCAGAACCCTCTGACCCATTCTCCTGAAGAAGCGCATACCTTGGTTCTGATGGGCAGTGCCTTAATGGACCAGAACCGGCCTCTTAGAAGCTTAGGATCTTCTTAGGAGGTGGAGGCTCAAGGGCCCCAGCCCCAGGTCTTGTCCACAGCAAAGTGAAACCACAGTTCTGTTCTGCCTATCACAGGGCTTTTGCCGCAACTGAAGGAGAAGCACATGTGGTAGTGACCTGTCACAGGGCCCACGAGGCCAGATGCTCCCTGGCTCCACTGCTCCCTGGCCACTTGAGCCACAGCAGATAAAAGGACCTGCTCACCTGACCTTCCGATATCATGGCACGCCCTGTTCAGGGCACCTGCAGGATCTGTGGGGCCCTCGGGACGAGCTGCTGTGGTTCTGTTCTGCAGGGCTATGGGCAGCAGCTGAGGGCTCATGCAGACACAGCGGCATGAGGTCACTATGCAGAGTGAGCCCACCATGTGGGTTGGACCACCTCAGGCCCGACTGTCACCTGCGTAGAGCTACCACAGGCCCTGCAGCAGCAGCTCAAGGAGCACAGGGTGCCTGGAGCCCTCCCTGTCACCTGCTCTCACAGATTAACGCTGCCCGCCAGGCCACTGCCCATGGATCATGTGCGGAATGCCTGTCACTGCACATGATTTAAGACCAGGCTCAGCCCATCCGTCTTTGTTCCTCCTGAGCACGCCTGGCAGTTCCTCAGTGCAATGCCTGCTGAGAAGTGGCCTTGAGGTGGAGCACGTCCTTCACTACAATTCCGAGTGGAGGCCTCGGGTGGCCAGGGTCACCACCGGCCCGTGCTCCTACCCCTGCTGCTTGGAGCGGTGTCTTGGCCCCTCCTTGGCCCTATGCCTCTGAACACAGCACAGATAGCTACGTAAGTGCTCTAGTTGACACATAGAGCAAGGGCACTGCCTCTTGCCACTGTCCCTTGCAGCTCCTAGGGACAGAGATGCCTTCTGGTTCCCACTTCCTGTTAGCATGGATGAGTCAATGTGGATACATTGTTATTAAGGAAAGACCAGCACTCAGGTTGGGCTCATGCTTGGCCTTTTTATTTTGTTTGGTGTTGTTAAAGAAATGGTCTCGCTCTTACTCCTGCTTCAGCCTCCCAAGTACCAGGATTTCAGGTATGCACCATCATGCCCAGCATTCACTGTTGGGGTTGGACAAATGTATAGCAGCATGCACCCTTCACTGCAGGGTCACGCAGAGTAGCTTCCCTGCCTGGCAATTCCTCTGCCCTGGCTCTGCACCTCTCCCTGCCGCCTACCT